ATTTTATTGTGTTATAAATATCTTTTTTGGTAATGCCTTTGTGATGTCTATTTTGTCCATACACTAGATGTAAAATAGTCATTGTTAACTAAATATGTCAACATTATTGTGACAGGCTTGAGTCATTTTACCTTTTTCGTGTCCAGGGGTCAAAATTTATTATACTTCTACATGTTGGCCTGAAGACAAAACACAAGTATTATTGATCAAACACTCTATTGAAATTTAAAATATCAATTAACTTACATTACATCTAGAATAGTGTTTATCTTAAATTATGTGTACACGTAACATAATGTTAAAACATCTTACCAATCCATACAAACGTTGAGAGAAATTAAAACCTTGAAATCCGGGTATCTTAACGTTTAGTAGAATATATAAAAAAAAACAAAGTGGTATCATCTAGCATATGACCATTTAATGTGAGAAAGCAAGCTAACAATTTTCACTTCTTAAAATCCAGCGATTCTTTTCACAAAAAATCTTACGATTAAAATTGATCGTAAGTTATACTGAAATGTGTATGACTTACGAGTATTTTTACTCTTAAGATTTTTTGTGAAAAGAGTCGCTGATAATAAAGACAGAGAGTTGTCTCATTGGCACTCATACCAAATATTCTTATATCTATATACATGTACATGAGAATCAAAAATCGTAAACTAAGAAAGAAGTAGTAAGTTGACAGGTAAAATTCCCCTGCTTGTGTATGAAAATAAAAAAATTAAGAAGATGTTGTATGATCGCCAATGAGAAAACTCTCCACCAGAGACTGAATGACATAGTATATAGGTCATTGTACGACCTTCAACAATGAGTTAAACCTATACCGCATTTTCAGCTTTGAATGGCCTCAAAATGACAAATATTAAACAATTCAAACGAGAAAACTAACGGCCTGATTTATGTACAAAACAACAAACAACAAAACAAATATGATATACAGCAACAAACGACAATAACTGAATTACAGGCTCCTGACTTAGGACAGACACATACATAATTGCCCCGAAATGAAAAATGTAAAACAATTTAAACGAGAAAATTAACGGTCTGATCTATTTGCAAAACAATGAACGAAAAACAAATACGATATACAGCAACAATTGAAAAATAAGGATGTGCTATCCCGTTTTCAATATAAAAATAAGAAATTTGTGATATTATTGCCAAGTATCCATCAGACACCAAATGATGTTTGTGTATTCATTTATATGACAAACATCTGTTCGGTGGCATATCATTTCAGACTTCTGTTTTAACAATTTCTTTTATTACAATTTCGTTACAAGAAAAAGATTATTTATATTGTGTTTAGGTCCATTTTGATCATATATCACCTAAAATTTTGTGGTCATTACGAATCCCTTGTTTCAAATGTTTAGGTATGAGCGTTCCTTATGAAGGTAAATCATCAAAGCAGTTTGGACGCACGAAATTTAACGTGTTTATTTCATTAACTAAGCTTATGTAAACAAAATATGCAGGATACTCAAAGCCAAAAGAAAGCATGTAAATAAAATCGAACATGCTCTTCAAAGAAGAATTTTAGCTTTAACTGTGTGTTGATCGATTCATATGATAGGTAGTGAGTGGACAGTTTTAGATAATCTGTAAAACATGAAATTATCTTTTAGTTAATCAATTTATCGTCCATTTTTTCTTTCCCATCATTATACAGTAGACAGATATTCTTCGCGATGAAGTCTTTCCTTTAGGGTATACGAAATAGACCCCATCTATGTCGCTGTCTATGTCTTGACATTCAGATGGTAGTTCTGAAGATGAGAAAGTCATTGACAAAATGATTATTATGTTAAGGACTACGATCAAAAGATGTTTCAATGTAAAATCATTTTAAGCGCTCCAGTTTGAGTACTTCTCATACACCCTTTGGCAGGAAATGAGAAATACTTTTGTTATTTGATGCCTGTACTAACTCAGGGATAAAACAGTTGTTTTCCATTCGTTACATTGGTTTATCTTTATCTGAAATCAATTCTATAAAACTTTTGATTTTTCAACCCTGTTTACCACCATTCCCCATGTGAAGTTGAAAAGTCGTCTGAAAGAAATAATCCACAATGCTTTTCATATAAAAATGGTAGCATACGCTATAAATTTATTACTTTGAGATACCATACGGCATATTTTGTTAATAGTGAACAAAAAGGTAAAATATGCTACACACAGGAACAAGTGATCAAGTATGCTGGAGTATCTCATTGATAACATATTTGAAGATTTTGACTAATTGTCGGCATTCCTATGGGAAAGAACTGTGCGCCTCTCCTTGCCGACCTCTTCTTATTTTCATATGAGTCGGAGTTCCTTCAGACAATTGTCAAAAACAAGATGATCAAAGAAGCAAGATCATTTAATTTCACATTCAGATATATTGATGATGTTCTTTCCATAAACAATCCAAACCTTTCTGATTGGGTTCCATTATTATATCCTCCAGAACTAAAAATTAAAGAAACAACAGACAAGGCTTCCTCTGCCTCATTTTTAGACTTATACCTTGAATTTGACATATGCGGTCATCTCAGTACCAGAATCTATGACAAACGAGACGATTTTATTTTTAAAAAATCATCAATTTCCTACACCTTAGTAGCAATATACCAACTTCATCTGTATATGGGATATACATTTCCCAACTCATTCGGTATCTTAGAGCTTGCAGCTGCTACTCAGACTTTGTAAAACGTTACCAGTGTCTGAGCAGAAAGTTGATGAACCAAGGTTATGTCAAAGAACGTCTCGTGCTTTTTCTAAAAAAGTTCATCGGAAGATACCAAGACCTTGTTATAAATATTCCGTATCAACTTCACAACTAATGCATGATGGTCTTGATGTATAGATTCTAGGAATTGACGTTGTTCTTCGCGATGAAGTCTTTCCTAGTCCCTTTCTTTGTAACCGGTCATTAACATGTAAAAGTCTGTTAACGACCGGTTTTCTGGTCCGTTTTTTTCTGCTAAAGACCGATAGAAATTATTACTGAAGAACAAAGAATGTCATGTGGCTCCTTGTTATCCAATAAGAGAAGCTATTTCTTAACCGATATGAAATTACGTGTTATAGTGTTCATTTATTTGTCTTTGTAAATTATATAGGTTTACTGTTTGGTCCTTTTTTTGGTAATATCCTTTAGGCGTGGCTCGGTACATCCCACCATTGTGTTGTTGTGCTGTGGTCAGTTTTTGTATTTTTGTGTTTCATTTGTGCTTTGTCTATATGCCATTTTGTTTTTCTTTGTTGACATATTTGTGTGTTTTTATAGTGACTGAGATTATAACACAATGTTGACTGCTGTACCCCTTTTTTTGACATTTCTACCTATTATGTCTGTTTGTTTTGTTCACACATTGTTGTCAATATAATGGAATTATATGCGACTGTCATACAAGTGAGTGGTTTAGCTAGCTTTAAAACCAGATTAAATCCACCATTTTCTACATTAGAAATGCTTGTACCAAGTCAGGAATATGACAAGTGTTTTCCATTCGTTTGATTTGTTTGAGCTTTTGATTTTGCCAATTGTTAAGGGACTTTCCGTTTTGAATTTTCCTCGGAGTCTGGCAATTTTGTTGTCAGATTTTTGGCCTTCTTTTTTAATTTACCCTGGAGACCGGTATTTTTGTTAATACTTTTTTTATACTATCGATAAATAACCGCAACATATACTTTTATAAAAACGGTTTATGGATTATGCACTTTATTTGTAAAGTGCAACTGGTAATTTATCTTTTAAGATGTTGAATTTTTTAACCGGTATTTATAAACAAACAATTAGATCATAATAGTTAAGGTGAATTAATATAGGATGGAAGAGTACTAGACTTTAATAGAATAATAGTAATTCATTGAATTATACTACATTTGAATTATATTTCATTTCAACAGATAACGTATCTTAGCTCTAGGCCAAATATTTAGAAAACAAAAGCCTAACAGCAAACAATGAAGATTTCACAAACGTACGGCATTCGTCAATAAGAAAATCCAATTCTGCATAGTAAGCCTTAAATGGCCCCAAAATGAAAAATGTAAAACAATTCGAACGAAAAAACTAACGGCCTGATTTATTTGCAAAACAATAAACGAAAAACAAATATGATATACAGCAATAAACGACAACCACGTATTTACAGGCTCAGGACTTGGACAAGCACATAATGTTGCGGAGTTAACCTTTCAGAATGGGTTTATTCAAATGATCGATAAGTTTACTCGGATCGTATCTTAATTTACGGGCTCTAATAACAATATCACCTTAAAAATTAGGATGTGATATCCGAATTGTAATACGTTTTCTACAGATACAACCAAACTTCAAACCAAATCTATGTATATAGGAAAAAAATTAGTAAAGGTTTAAGTAAATGTGGTAACGTAATTTAACTTAATAATTTACCAGTAATACATAGATTGCATTCATTGAAATCAAAACGTCAGGGGAATATCAAACGTCTACGCTTTATATTGTATAAAATTGGAATGAAAATGAATGAAATATTTCTTAGAATAAATTTTGAATTATTGAGGTCACTCTAGTCTCTAGTGGAACAATATTTGCCTACCATTCCATAGTACCATGTTCAATCCTTGGTTTCTTTCTGGAATGAGATTGTTGATCTCCAACTATCTACGAATTGTTTGAAGACTAGATTGTTTGTGTTTGTTCTTACCCCGACTGTCAAAAACATTCCGACAAGCGGACGAAAAGCAAAGAAAATATATAAATGATGTACGACCTTTAAAAATTAGCAAAACCCATCATACCACATAGAAAGGTATAAAAGGTACCGAAAACATGTAAAGAAAACCAACAGCCTGATGTATGTAAAAAACAAACGATACAGACAAATTTGATAAACACAACGTTTGTTTTATATTTTATTTCAAAAATCATGCAATCATAATTTAAAAAAAAACAAATTTCCAGTCAGTAATGTTAAGAATGCATTCTTGTTTACTTACTCTTTACACAACTCATTCCATTCCAGTACGTCGAAGTTTTGCAGACACACGTGTCATCATCGTCACACTATAGATTGTCCTGACATTCAATTGACAAAGAGAAAACACCATCTAGTTCTTTTTCTGATATGAAAGAAAATTGTGAAATGCATGATGTTTCAAAAAATATATTTTTAGTGTTCTCATGGATGATTTTTTTATATAAATTGTTTTGCTTTTGGTTTTCGATAGCTATGTTTTTAAATTTTTTATACTGATACATGTAGTTTTTTGCCAGGCTGTTACTGCAAGAAATAAGTATACGTTTAAAATTATCGGCTTTTCTACACATTGATATCGTAAAATATCAGCCACGAGCCCAAATGTGAATCTTCTTGGTGAGTGAACGTAGCGAACAAGCTAAAAAAAGCTTAACATTGTGTCGGTGGTTATTTTACGATATCTATACACAAAAAATCAGGATAATCTGTTCATATTGCTTTTTCACCGTTAAAATTTTTAACGCATGGCGAAAGTAAGTTTGATAACGTTTCCTCATACATGGTGACGTCGCTAATAACCTCTCTCCTGGTATTATGACGTCACTGATTAGTTCCGCTCAAGTCTCAAACGATAATACGAGAAATACGGAGCGACGTAGCAAAGTGATATAAGCGACGGGAAGGACGATACTATTCAATAGAAGACCTTGGTCCCAACACTATTACCGATATCAACACGTCCTTAAGAATGTCAGTGGAAGGTTTGTTCCAGTTCTCAACTACTGTGATATAAATCCTTCTTCCAGTTTTCAAAACTTGATACAGATTGTTTGATGCTATCGTTTCGAAACTAAAAATCTATATATTTAAACGGTGCAGATCTCTGTTGACATGCTAAACATTTTTCTTATTTATTTTCACTGGAATGCCTCCTTAAATTTAGGGGGTTCATACACAAGACATAGGATGACAAAGCAGACTGATAATCATAGAAACAATAAAACTGGACGAAGCCGATGTTAGTAATGTTTTTGAGGGGATAAACGACAGACATTGAACAATTGAGATTTTTTTAAATTTATTTAATACTCTCCAATTACGTATAAAACTATAGAAAAGAAAATACTTACTTAAAAGACATTGCTCATCCTCTGAATTCCAATATTCCAAATCTATACATTTACATTTTCCATTTCTGCATGTCATCGTGTCTTTACATTCTGCCGTAGTCTGGCAAACCGAATTTTCAACTTTCTCTAAAGTTATAAGAAATATTGATTTCATTCTTTATTCTCAAACGTCTTAAAAAACAGTCCAACATAGACATAGAGGTATAACCAATTTCCTCAGTATTTGTTTCATTTGCTGGGTCAGAATTTGACTATTTAAAAAGAGTCTGGATACTATATTTGAAATGTTTGTCAATTATTCAAAATATTGTCATAAAACAAAAGTTATTTCAATCGCTTTTTCTGTTATTGAAGATAGTTTTGATACAGTATTGCAGGATTTTTTTATGTCTTTACTTTTCTTTAATTAAATGAATTGATGTGTATCTAAAAGATAATAGTTTGGTTCTATTTTGATAGAAGTCTGGTGTTGTTAATAATGTTCTTTGCACGCTAGACGCACGTTTCGTCTACAAAAGACTCATCAGTGACGCTAGAATAAAAAAAAATTAAAAAAGCCAAATTAAGTACGAAGTTGAAGAATAGTAATGACCTTAAATTCCTAAAAGTTTTGCCAAGTACAACTTAGGTAATGTATTCCTGTGTAATCTAGCATAAAACTAAAAAGGTGCTCACATTCTATCAAAATTTTCACCTTTGAGTCATTTTCATGCATTTTCAAGTTGGTGACATTTTCAAAAATATGTTTTAATGATTTTTATAACTCAACTAAATACATATTTGCAACTGTGATACGCTACTGTACACTTTAGTTATTCTCTTAACAGAGAAAATAGACAAAGTGTGAAACAAATGCAAGAGAAAATTTAACATACCTCTAGGATATTTCTTCGTTTATACTGTTATTTATAAACTGTTTATACTTGTTTTGAGATAATACTTGAAATTGAATAAAGTGTTAAAAAATGGCATTTTCAACAATAACGCACATACATTTACTTCCACCAAATAAAGAAAATTACAAATTTAGCTCAGAGAATAAAAAACTATAAAACTTACTTGGTAAACATTTGTGTTCTTTAAGAAATTCTGTATCAGGACAATGACAAGTACTATCAAGACAGGGCAATTCTGTTCTACATTTAAACTGTGCACTGCATGTCATTCCTGGAAACCTTTCTTTTATATTAGAAAACACAGAAGTATAGTGTTGTAATCACATTTTTATCAACTGTTAAAACGACTTAGAAAATCAAGAGGTAAGTGGGCGAATTGTTTGCGAATGCGACCTTTCAAAACATACCTTCTGTTAAATATAACCATTTAAAAAAAACCATATACGAGTTTTGATATTGCACAGGGTATACACAGACACAAAGACTAAACATTTGTAACTTGAATATTTATATGATATACTAACTCGAATAATTCGGCCCCTTTCCGTAAATGATCTCTTCTCCTTGTGAGGTAAATGCAGCTATCGTAGAGAGGCGGAATATAATGGTTAGTGATAGACTAATGAAGTCTACTTATTAAATGGCTGGACAAATTTTTAGTTTTGAGGTGAAAAAGAACACAGTTATTGGTAGTTACTAACCACAATACCAAAATCCCAACTGTTAATATTATAAATCAAGCTAAGGTCATTTGGAAGCATATCTGTGGAAGTTTCTTAATAGTTTAGAACTTTGTTAATTTAAAAAAAAAATTAAAACTGTATGCCATTTCAACCTGATTTTCGTAGAATGCTAAAACTTTTCCAATCGCAGGATTTCTTCGTGTTGATTGGTTCAGAAACTACATAAAATTTAATGTTATATAACCATAGATGACTAGATAAACAAATGTCTACCATGGACTTAATAAAATCATAAAGAGGTATTCTGAAATTTTATTTCATTGCAAAATGTTAAGAAACTACAATTACGGAAAATAAGTTTATATTTGGAGCGGTGGTATGTAGAATCTTTTTTATTATAACTTTACACGAAAGGGCTGTAAACATTATTGAAATACATACTTATAACACAGTAACTGCCATTCCAATAATCGGTATCTCTACATTGACATTTATCCTCTTTGCATTCTAACGATTCCATACATTCTGGGTAACTGTTACACGAAGAATTAAAAGTTTTTCCTGAAACATAATATCATGAATTGTCATCTATTTGATGAAGAGATTTTTCTCGTATCACACTGCACGGATAGTGATACGACAAAGTGAAACGAAAAATGCGCTAATCCAGCATCATGGGACGATATTAAGACATTTCCATTGGCTAATCGTTAGGTCATTGATGACTTTCAAAGGTTAAGACGATGTAGATTTAGTCCATGGCAACGGAAATGTAATTCTTCAATAATATACAAAAACTCACACTTTTTCATGAAAATCTGATTTTTGTCAAATTCAATTACATTCTAAAGCGTACAAAAAAAATTTAAATGTCTGATGTGAAAATTTGACGCCGGAACCAGGCATATGACGTCATATTAGTATGTGCAAAAGACTTCATCAACTATTCCCGGAATTTTTTATTGAACACAATGAAAGTGTTGACAATTATAGAAATAGGTTTGACAACTCGGTTTAATTGGAAATCAATTGATATCAACTCTTATTATCTAATTTAAATAGTAAGAATAAACTCAAGTGATATCCAATTCTCACACGTTATAAAACCTATACGTATCATGCAAGATTAAGCGTTTTTTATATAATGAAATTGATAGTATTTTGTATGACTTATTTCAGAATCCAATGATTCATTTTGCAGTTTGTTTAGGATATACAAGCGTTAACCGATGTACATTCTGTATGAGGCGAGGAAGATGTCGCATATTTGGCTCTAGAGTATTTTTGTTGAAAATTTATCTCCAAATTTCCACGATACGACATATACGGTATGTTTATATTCGAAAATAGGTTCTAGGTAAATATCCTTAAGAAATGTATTGGCGTTTTTAGGTTTAGTCTATCACGTACTGCCATAACAGACAATAAATCTCCATGGAAGTTATCTGATCTAGTAACTCCTACATTTTGTTTGTCGTTGGATAAAACCACGATCTGTTCATGCAATAACAAATCAATTAAGTAGGTTTTCAACTTTAATGGACACCCTGTAGTGACAAAATTGATGATTTCAATTTCATTCGAAATTCATTATGATCAACAAAGGAAGATAAAAATTGTGTAAGGGCTTTTTTGATATATTTAGTATTTTGTTTGGTTTTTTTTTCTTGTTTTTATTTTAGGGGTGGATATTTATTTTACTAAAAAATAAAAACAACACGTTATAAATTTCATGCGTCCGAAGCGCTTTTCTGGATTTATTACCTTCATCAGGAACGCTCAATGCCAAATAGTTGAAAGCCAAGGATGTATAAGAACCGAAACAATTTAAGAGCTAAACGACATTAAAGGACCTAAAAATAGCCAAATCCATCCAAGGTCAACTTTACTTTTAACGACAAAATTATATTATATCTACCTGTGTGACGTCAAACGCGCGATTCTACGCCAGTACTTAAAACCTTCCATTCTCTATGGGTGGATTTTACATAGATAAATAAAATCGTATAATAAAAAAGCAAAATGAGGATGTTAAATTCGATGTATGCCTTTTCGTCCTTCTTTGTTACATTTGTTTGTTTTTATAGTGATTAAGATGATAACACAATGTTGACTGCTGTACCCTTATTTTTGACATTTTTACCTGTTGTGTCTGTTTGTTTTGTTCACGCATCGTTGTCAATATAATGTCATACAAGTGAGAGGTTTAGATAGCTATAAAATCAGGTTCAATCCACCATTTTCTACATTTGAAAATGCCTGTTCCAAGTCAGGAATATGACAGTTGTTATCCATTCGTTTGATGTGTTTGAGCTTTTGTTTTTGCCATTTGATTAGGGACTTTCCTTTTTGAATTTTCCTCGGAGTTCAGTATTTTTGTGATTTTACTTTTTGCCTGAGGTAGTTGAAACCTTAGTTTTTAAATTATTTCAAAATTTATAAACGGACAATTTTAAAAAGGTTTGTTATAAATCATGTCAGTACCGAAGTACTGACTACTGAGCTGATGAAACCCTGTGGGACTGATAGTCCACAAGCAGAGGTATCGACCCATTTAGTGATATATCAATGCTTTTGTCATTTGGAGAAATTAAGTGCTGATGGTAGATCTTTTATCGTATCGTTTGACTTGTTATCTTTATGGCTTAGGATAATATTTTGATGTCTTTTGGTTGTTTATATCTAGTTCCTGTCTGATTGATGTATCTTCCACATCTCTTTTTATTCACACAGGTGTGTTGCTTGAATTTGTAACACATGTATACTATATACATTTATAATCGGGATATATATCAATCTATTTCATACTTAATGTACAAATGGAACCATTCCAAAAATCCGAGGAAACTTGGTTGGCATTCTTCTGTTTTACTGCATTCCTGCTTAGCATCCTTCCCTTAATGGCAAAAAGCATAATATATCATTGTCATTAAATTATTTTTAAAAGTTTTACTTGTTAAAAAGATGACAGTACTAGAAAAATATTTTCATATTTTATTTATTTGTGCTTAACTGAACAGGATACATATGGTCTTAGAGCCTCCTTTCATCTGACACTGTTGACACAAGACTAGTATTATATACTTAAGTTTTATTCCAGGTAAAAAGACTATTTTATTATTTTTATAAGATAAATATATCAAAGCAACTTTTGAACACGATGGTGTACACATGAAAACACAAAATATTCTAATTTTGCAAATAAATCAAAGTATCAAAATTGACAACAGTCTTCTTTAAATTTAGTTAATGTCACTTGTATAGCGTGGCGAAGAATAAACGTACTCATAGTAAATTTAGAATCATAGATCAAAATCAATTTTAGCAATTTCACATAGTTAACATCTTTTTAAATTGATTTTACGTTAGGATTTGGATTATTTTGCCTACATATTGGTTTGCTTTGAATGATTCTTCAAGTGTATCTTTTAAAAGTTACTATATCTTTTTAAGCAGATTCTTCTTTCTTTATGGTTCGTGCATGTGGAAGTAACAAAAATGCATTTTATCAATTATATACAGTTAACTTGCTTCGAACACATTTGTTTCTATCAAGGTAATATGCATCTGGACATGAACATATTCCAGCCACACAAAACAGATCGTCTTGGCATTCCGTCTGAGAATAACACTGCATACCGAATATCTTTTCTGTAATTATCAGTAATTATGGAAATGAAAGTGTTACATAAAACTAGTAATTTTATCATTACCAAAACCATAGAAAGAAGCAGGTTCGGTGAGACTACTTTTTTGCCTTGAATTCGAAATGAAAAAAAATAAAATTGATAATCAACATCCTGTAGTTTGTCCTAATAAAACTGTCTGAAATATGATGGTTTTTCTTTTTAATTTTGCCTTACAAACTGTATTGAACCAAAATTGCCAAAAACTGCCAAAATATACATTTCTTTTGAAAAATTGTTATCAATATCTAAGTAATTGCCGTATGTAACAAGATAATTTTCTACAAGCTGCTGTATAAAAACATGTTGCTGCGAGTGAAAAAAAGGTGTGTGTATGGATATTGTTCATGTTTTATTTTACCAAAACATGTGTGTAAAATTTATATTTTAGATGAAGTGTGACAATTTAGACATTTCTGCTTTATAATTATAGAAATATAAGGTCCATATCAATAAGACACAAACCGAAACAAAATGGCACAAAGCTTACTCGTAATGCAGTTGGTTCCATTCCAGATGAACTCTTCATTGCACTGACAAATTCCATCTAAACACAAAAGTTTCCCACTGCATTCGAATGAATTTCTGCACTTTGAATTTATTGTGTATTCTGTGAAATAAGCAAGATTATTATTTTTGATACGAATTAGATATATATCACGACCTGAATAACTTCTATACTGTTTTATTCGTTCTTAACAGTGAAAGAAAATTATGCTTAGTTAGCAGTGATTCGGTACTGACATGATATATTACATACTTTTCGTAAATTCTTCTTTAATAAATTCAGGAATTTCTAAGAAACTTAGGTTTCAACTCCTTCAGTCAATGTTAACCTTAGATAAACTTGACTTTTGATTTTGGTTCCTGGTCATATATTGCTCCTCGCTTTTTCAGGTATTTACTGAATCTTTGCTTTTAAGCCAAAAAATTGAAAACAACACGTTTAATAATTTCATGCGTCCGAAGCGCTTTTCTGGATTTACCTTCATCAGGAACGCTCAAAGCCAAACATTTGAAATCCGAGGGATGTATAAGTACCGAAATAGTTGGAGAGCTATATGACAAACATACCTAAAACAAATAGCCAAATTCATCTAAGGTCAACTTTGCCTGAGGGAGTTGAAACCTTAGTTTCTTTATAATTTCAAATTTAACAACGAACAATTTTAGAAAGGTTTGTTATAAATCATGTCAGTACCGAAGTACTGACTACTGAGCTGATGATACCCTCGGGGACTGATAGTCCACCAGCAGAGGTATCGACCCAGTGATGTAAAAAATTGAAAACAACACGTTTAATAATTTGCATAATTTCTTAGATTTAAATTGACTGTATATAATATAAAATGCAATAATTGGGAAGTTCTTCTTAGTGTCTTTGAATGTAATGCCAAAATAAAATTGTATATGCATTTATTACTTGCTACATGTACGCACGCGTCTTCTTTCCAAAAGTCTTCACTAGCACACTGGCAAGTATTATGTATACAAAACAGTGAATCTTCACATCCAGTAATATCTTCACACTGCGCACCAAATGTCCCCTGTTCTGTTGTAACTATGAAAAGAACGAATCAACATAAAAGTAATTTTATGAACAAAAATATGTTCACAATTGTTATTGTGTCCGTTGTATATGAACTTGATTGCACTTGGCATAAAATCCGACGAAATTAAAACCATTTTTTGAGAATTTATTTGCAATATTTTCAAAATTTGATAAGATATTTTCAGCGTTAACTTGTAGTAAATAAACTTAGAATAGACTAAAGTATTCTTTCTAGAAAGTTCCAGTCTTTAAAACGTCAAAAGCATCGAAAGATTTCCAAATCTGTCCACAAAATGCAAATCTTTCTGCAAAAGCTACACAATAAAGGAAGTTTTTATCTAGTCCAATGTTTCATTGACCTCGACACCAAACAGTCCATAATCAAACTGTCGGACGTCAGAGAAATCTCGGACTACAATGAATCATCGTCCATGGAATAACTATGTGTAATTTTGGTTCCACAAAAAAAGATTCCTGCTAAAATTACTTGTCGGTTTTGTGTCGCGCTTTGTAAATGAAAAATCATCATGATTTTAGTTTGTTTTTTTTTCTTCTAATTTTTTACCAGAGACTAATATTACTCTCAGTTTTAACAGTATATAAAACTAAGCAGATGCAGTATGGTTGCAAAAGTGACTAAAACTATCCATAAACCAAAGGCCAAAGATGTAAATAATTACAGGTTACTGAACGGCCTTCAATAAGGTGCAAAACCTATTTGAGATCTAGCAGGAATCTGATTACAGTAGTTGTCGTCTGTTTATGTAGTTCATACGTGTTTCTCATTTCTCGTTTTTATATAGATTAGACCGTTGGTTTTTCCGTTTGAATGGTTTTACACTAGTAATTTTTTGGTGCCCTTTATAGCTTGCTGTTCGGTGTGAGCCAATGCTCCGTGTTGAAGGCCGTACCTTGACCTATAATTGTTTACTTTTATAAATTGTAACTTGGATGGAGAGTTGTCTCATAGGCACTCATACCACATCTTCCTATATCTATATATGGTAAACTATATATTTCATCATATAGGTAAAGTTCAATTATTTGACTAATGGGTTAGCAGAAAGACTTTTTATATCAACACTTCATTTGAATTTATAAACCTATCAATCCCTCCTGTCATATCATGTAAGTTTAAAATTCTTTGATATAAAAATAAGAAGATGTGGTATGATTCCTCATGAGGCAACTCTCTACCAGATATCTAATAATGTAGAAGAAAACATCTATATGGCACAGCACGGCATGAAACAATGAGTAAAACCCATACCGCATACCAAGTTATATAAAAATTCCCGACATGGCAAACATAAAACAATTCAAATCTAACGGTGTGATTTATGTACAAAAGAATTAACAAAAAAACAGATGTGATATAGAGTAACAAACGGCAACCATTTAATTATAGGCTCCGGACTTAGTACAGGCACATGTAGAATGTGGCGAGGTTAAACAATCTTTTACGTATCTTGACTGACAAATAATCTAATAATAACTTACGATTTGTAAAATTGACTGTATTTGGAAATGCCTCTTCAACTAAAGGTAAAGCGGAATCGTTTGTAATAGAAAAAGTTCTGGTTGTGTTTCATTGAATGTAACTTCTTTCACAGTCGTCAGTTCTTCTATGGTCGTTTCTTGCTCTGCTTATGACGAAAGTCAATAAAATTCGTCAAATTATATTACAAGTTGAAATTTTAAAACTTTATAACTAGAAATAAAAGCTGCAATGTAATTTGGAATATGAAGAATGAAAACCGTATTTAAAATATTTTAACATGAGATTACTTTGTAAACATTAAAGAAATATAAATGCAACAACCCACGGCAACCAAAATTAACTATTTATTTCAACATGCATAGTCGAGCAGTGTCTTGCTAGTGTGCCCCTTTCAAAATCCTGGATAATCACCTGATATGTATGGTTCTTATCAATCCTCACACCATACCTTTTTTACATTTTATTTGATTGATTAAATGGAAAAGTTATTGTGATTTTTTTACTAAGAGTGCAAAGAAAACATTTAAAAGCAAAAGCTTAGACACATAATTTCAAACAAATAAAATATTTAACACATCTATATAAAGAAATAGACCCAGGAAAAATGCGAGGCTCAGCGAACTTTTCGTTCCTGATTCGTTAAACCTACAAATCAATTTTATATTGCCAACCCATATACATACATGTATTTAATTGTTATCACGAAACTAAAAGAGAATATAAATCGGGTTAACATGAAAGGAATAATGGATAAAAAAAATAAAGAATAGTGAATAATCATGGGGTGCTAAAATATAAAGAAAAGAGAAAAATAGCATAGAAATTTAAAGAATACAGATATTAAGACTCTTCATCCAGACAGTACTCATAGAATGTTGACTACATTCTTTTCTCATATAACCACAGAAATGTCCTTTACTTTAAAAAATAATTGACTGGTATGAATTTATTAAAAAAAATCTGAAATGAGGATACACCGTTGAAATAGTCAATGGTATCCCGCCAATTGTCATTCGCTGATCACAAAAGAAAATGTCAGAAAACTGTAACATTACAGTATATGCACATCGCATATTTTATTAAATACATATTTGAATTGTATTAAAGTGATTTAAATTTCATGATGCTGGACATTTTTTTAAATTACAACGAAATTCTGCAATGTTTTTGCCGATTGCAGATTGCAAATTTAGTAAAAATTAAAATTTAGGATAGAATATTGTCTTTTTAGTTGGACAACATAAATTCATATATACATATATGACACGTTCACCTACATGTATTGAAGCAATCTGTGTGAACTCAATTTGTCATTGTGTACAACTAACAGCCAAAATAACTAACATGTATTCAAAATAAATACGAAAGTGTTTTATTTTCTACACAGAAAATTTACCACAATCTTCTTCGTCACTTTTATCAAGACAATTGTCAATATGATTGCATTTCCAAACTTGTGGAATGCAGTATCTCCCGTCTTTGCACGCAAATAATCAAGGACAATTTAATTCTAAAAGAGAAATATTTAAGAACTAATAAATGAAAGTACCTTGCCTACATATCATTTGAATCATCTTGATTCAGTTCAACATGTTGTAAAATATAAAAAGAAAAATGAAAGATTTGTTTTAACACTCTGAGCTGTGTGTCAAAATCCATTTTCAACGTGTTTCTTTTTACTTTGGTGAAGATATGCTGTTTTTTCTAAACAGATTAAATTCAATTAGAAAACAAATATCTGTTTTCGATTTTCAAAATATTTTTATAACATTGCTCATAACCTATCAATTTTAAATTGATCACCGTAATAGGTGATATTAATCATTTATTAATATCCTTTCAAAATTGTATGATTAATATACTTCCAAAAATAACTCATCAAAGATGCGAGGCATATATTTTTTTGTACGTCAACGGACTTTATACCTATGTTGCTACCCTATTTTAATGAAATTAACCTGTTAAAGTGGATGACGGACGAACTTTTCAAAATTATAAAGAAACTAAGGTTTCAACTCCCTAGGGCAAAGTTGACCTTAGATGGATTTGGCTATTTGTTTTTGGTATTTTTGTCAACTGTTTTGGTACTTATACATCTCTCGGATTTCAAATGTTTGGATTTGAACGTTCCTGATGAAGGTAAATCCAGAAAAGCGCTTCGGACGAATGAAATTATTAAACGTGTTGTTTTCAATTTTTTACATCACTGGGTCGATACCTCTGCTGGTGGACTATCAGTCCCCAAGGGTATCATCAGCTCAGTAGTCAGTACTTCGGTACTGACATGATTTATAACAAACTTTTCTAAAATTGTCCGTTTTTAAATTTCGAAATTATAAAGAAACTAAGGTTTCAACTACCTCAGGCAAAGTTGACCTTAGATGGATTTGGCTATTTGTTTTAGGTATTTTTGTCATAAAGCTCTTCAACTGTTTTGGTACTTATACATCCCTCGGATTTCAAATGTTTGGCTTTGAGCGTTCCTGATGAAGGTAAATCCAGAAAAGCGCTTCGGACGCATGAAATTATTAAACGTGTTGTTTTAAATTTTTTACATCACTGGGTCGATACCTCTGCTGGTGGACTATCAGTCCCCGAGAGTATCATCAGCTCAGTAGTCAGTACTTCGGTACTGACATGATTTATAACAAACTTTTCTAAACTTGTCCGTTATAAATTTCGAAATTATAAAGAAACTAAGGTTTCAACTACCTCAGGCAAAGTTGACCTTAGATGGATTTGGCTATTTGTTTTAGGTATTTTTGTCATATAGCTCTTCAACTGTTTTGGTACTTATACATCCCTCGGATTTCAAATATTTGGCTTTGAGCGTTCCTGATGAAGGTAAATCCAGAAAAGCGCTTCGGACGCATGAAATTATTAAACGTGTTGTTTTCAATTTTTTGTTTGGGTTATTATTTTGAAGTAATGTTGACGTCTTAAGCCTTTTAATAAGTCTTATCTATAAAACAAAAAAAATATTGTTAGATGGTAAAGTCCGATATAAATTTAAGTGATCTTGACGTCAAGTGTTCTCGTTTTGCTTTAAGCAATTCAGACATAATTGACCCAGGAAATTACTTCAAACGCAGGGCATTTGCAAGTTTAATTTTTATGAATCTTAACCAGGTCATTTATGTCTTAAAGACGGCGTTTTTACAACCTAATTTGTCGTAAATTTGATTCATTCTTAGTCAAGAAGTTTTGACTTCCTCCCTACCAAAACATGAACCTGAGATTTTGCATTAATAAAGTCGATGTCTTGTTTACGTCAATGAGACGGCAAGTCGATTTCATAAGTGACTAAAGATATAGTCTTCAAAAATATGTCACGCACTTGATCGTATACCTATCAGCTTATTAAAGAGTTTTTAAAGAGAAAAATTTTGTGTGTGAGCGATTTATGTAACATAATTATGCGCTCTATCATTTTGTTTTGAGCGAAACCGATTTGGCATAGTCAAAATGGTCTCCACTACTAATACAGAATCTTTGATTTTTCATCAAAACAATCTCGTATTTAGTTGTAATGAACTTATAAGGAGAAGTGAATTCGGAAATGATAATCAACGGGCTACGTTAGAAAGGAGGTCGAAACTTACTCGTTGCGTTTAGAGTCAGTATGACTTAAAGAAGGTGTAGAGTATACCTCGATGAGACTGAAAAAAATAACAAATCTAGAGGTAAATTTACAGTCTAAAAGTAGACATGTGTCTATATAATATGCCAAGAGTTAAATAATCTTGTTATCTTTGTGTTTTTTTTTAAGTTATATTGTTTGATTGTTTGTTTTGTATTTTATCATTTCTTGTGATTTTTAATAATAACTTTTTCAATATTACTGTATCTTTTTTTATTTGGTCGGACTCACATAATACAAATGATCAGTCGATGAAGGATGTAGGTGTCTTACATATAAGAAAAAGTGCTCACTCGTTACAACTGCCAAGCTACTTGCCAATATGAAGTAATGCTGGACAGTAGTACCTGAGAGGTTTGTGACGAAAACAACTCATCGGAAAATAACAAATAGATATAGGAAAAGTGATTAAACGTTACAACATATCTATTGTGATTACCAAAGATGAAATCATTCTGTACCAAAAATGAAATCATTCTGTTCAAAAGTGTGACGCAAATATTTATTTGACGAACAGATGGACGGACAAAACATGACAAGGTGAATGCAATATCAGTGGGCGGTATAATGTTTTATTTTTTTTTGTTTTGTAATCAATAATGGGTATATTATCACATTATAATTATACATTACATACATTTGTCAATTAATAAAAATATAAAAGAGATGAGTAGATATAAATGTGACAAATCATCATGGTTCATATATCAAATACTTATATCTAAAACGGTTGAGATTATCTTTGACAGTTAGCGAACTCTTAAACCACGAAACAGCTCAAACAATTTGTTTCAGAAATAAGTCTGAATATCATCATTAAAGCACTAAAACTTATTCAAATAATACACTCTATGCATTCTTTTTGAATAGCAAACACTTCCAAATAACACAATTTAAAGAACACTTTTCGCATGTCTTACAAATTGAAGTCTTTGGATCGTTGTCCTTTTTTGCGTTAAACAAACAATTCATACTCTTTAATAGCTGTATAAACTACTCATTAATGTAGACATAAAACCAATAAAAATCAAATATCCAAGCATATATTTGACACTGCATTATCAAAATATATGAATATATGAATAAAACGTAGTAAAAATAAAGCTACTAAAACAAAAGACTGTAAAGTGGATGGTCGCACGATAACGCCGATGCTATATTTATTATATTATTCAAATATATATCAACATATATAATATGTTTTTCAACCAAATGTATCAAACAAATAACTTTACATATACAAATCTGAATAAACTATAACCAGAGGTAAAATTTACCAAGACAATTTCCATTGTTCATATTGACGCTGTCGTGCTGACTGACTAAATAGCGAATATGATTTTGAAGCGGGAAAACCTAACGCCCTCTATGCTACATATGATGAAAACTCACAGGAGAATTTAATTTCATTCCAATGCACTGCCCGTTTAAATGAAAAACAAATATGATAAATAAAACAGTAAAGAGTGTTTAAGATAACTTACCTGGTTTTAGTTGATCATTCTCGTCATTTACGAGATTAACAAAACTTCCCTCATTAACTGGTAAATTGCATATCAAAATTGTAACAACTAATGTTGAAAACATTTTTGAGAAAATTTTTCATGAATGTTTCAAACCGATCTTTATATACTTGTTGTTTGGAGTACTCGTAAGGGTTACACCAAAGAGATTTAAGAGTATTTATGGCGTCATTTGTTATTCAGAAAAAGTAGCAAAAACAGTTTGTCTACGTGACTGGTGCCTTGCAACTTTTTTTAAAAGTAGGGAAAAAACAGCGTTAACAGAAAATACAGTTATTTTTTTTTTATTTTCTCAGACTAATGATTTATCAGCACGTATAAGTAATTTGCTACAATTCTCCTTACTAAAATATATTCAATTTAACAAATATCCAAATTATACAAATGTCAATCTTTCCAAACATCTTGTCAAACCATTTAGGCGTATATCTATACTTTTGATCAAATCATATATGCACTTGAAGATGGATCAATACTGCATTTTAATATTTTGGCATCTATGTTAGTCTTTACCCACAAACTGGTTAAGATGGACAATGTTACCGTCGTAGAGAAGGAGAAACTTACGCATAACACAGTCTTGCGAAGATAATTGTTTCATTCCCTTTTTTCTTATTTGACTCAGAAACAAATTAGTTACGTACAATACGCTGCGATATAAATTACCCAAAGAGGTTTTATAAATAATTTTATTTATAACCTAGCTTGAAATTTGAATAATGATAGAATATTTTATTTTCGTTTGAATTGATGTTACCAAAAAAAAATTTGCACTTTTTGCTTTTATTTTTTATAGTTTTTATGAAGTGAGCAGTAGTCTTTTGGTTATGAAACAGTTTGAAGATGCGTTTTAAGTCTACTGCTATGCAAATAAACAGTGTATTTACATTTCGTCATATTTATATTCATACAACAATTCCGTTGGATTCGGAGGACATTTGATATTTGCAAATTAAACGAAAATTTGATTTTCTTTGATGAGAAGCACGACAGAATACAGATTTCATGAACACTTAAAAAGTTGGTTAAAGTATTATAAATTTCAAGGTGATTGAACTTACGATTGTGTATTACATTAGATATAAGTGGTTGTGCAACGTGTACGATTACAGTTCAACAGTTAAAGAAAATTAGGCTGTCTGTTTTAAAGAAATAAAGAAACTAACTTTGATTAAACACTCTTAGATGAAACTATTATTAATTGTTCTAACATTATATATTATATCTAATTTGTGTTAATTATTAACAATGTGCTAAATGTGTATAATAGATATTTAAATACTGGTTCATTAGGGCCCCGCCGAATGGCGGACGCCTTATAGTGATCAGTCCGTCCGTCCGTC